AGAGAGAGGAAGTAAAGCAATTTTTAGATTAAATCCACCTGACCCCACCATGCTGATAGACACATAAGGGTGATATGGAGATAGAATTGAGAAAAAAACCCAAAATTTATACGCAAAATAGTGCATTTTGTTCCTTCCTAAGTTCTGATAGCTTATTCAAGGTGACGGTGTTTCTTCTTGGGTATTGTGAATATCTACAAAATAAACCAATTTACATAAATATTTCAAATAAAAAGCATTCTATTATATTTCTTAACTTGATAAGATCAGTACTCTGACAAATTTTTTATATCCATGGCAAAAATTGACAGAGATGATATAAATATATTAATTTTGGTATTAATTTCACTCTTTCAATTATCTGGCCATGAATAACAGGGAAATGGGATGAATGTACAGGTAGGATCTTTCTCAAAGAAAACAGAAATTGGTAGGAAGAGGACACAAGTAGCAGGTCAAGGTAGGATCAACAGTTGATATGAAACGAAGGTTGTGTTCTTCAACCCCATTTTATAATAAGAAAGACAAGGCTGAAAATAATAAAATTAACTAGTCATGGTTAAACACGAAAGAATTGACAGAGCCAGGTGTAAAGTCTTTTAACTTCCCGTACAATACCCTTTCCAGGTATTGTAAAAGAGATGCAGCAGCCATTAGTTATCATTTTGGGCTGCATTTTGCTGTGTCTAGGGAAGCTTCCACCTAATTAGACAAAAGAACATCTTCTATAATTAAGGTTGAAAATGCCAGATATTTTTGTAACCTCCCATGCAACTAAGGCGTGGGTGCATGAAATCAGCAGTCTATCAGACGCTGTCAGTACAGATTTCAAAATAGAAACAAGTAGGGCAAGGAAACCAAGGGTTTGCAGAACTCAGTCTGGTGAAAGCAATGTCCAGAGACATGTCCAGAGTCTTGACATAACTGGACATGGTTCTGGAAGCATTTCTAGAGTCCGTCTAATGACAGTAGATTCACAGTGAAAGCTGTGGGATTTTTGTCCACTTATCATGGCAGTGGTGTCTTCGCAGGACCAATTCCGAGACCTAAATTTGGGTGTGTGTAAGATACAGACCAAACAGGAAAGTTGAGAGATTATCCAAGAATAAACAAGTCACATAGGTCATGCGACTTTTTGCCTCAGCCCAGATGCAGTGTTTTTTCCTTGTCAAGCAGACCTCAAGACACTTGTAGCCTTAGGGTCTCTTACAAGCTGTAGATGTGGCTGGAGTGTGGTATGACCAGCCATCGACTCCATCAGATCTTGCTAGACAGGGCTTGGTAACAAGGAGTAAAGTAAATTTGTTTGCCATTTTTTTCTTATTTTGGTTTTCATGCTTATTTTCTTTTCAAATACTTGTTAGAAACTAGTAAAAAGTATGATGAATTCAAAAATGAAAAAATAGCAAAAGGAAAAATTAATTGATTAATAGCTGACTGTACATACTATGAATCTGCGTGGGATGGAAAATATCAAACTACTTTAAGAAATTTCATCATTCAAAGTCCAATCATTGAGATTAAGAAACTCAAATGTGTACTGATCATTTTGTTTGCCGTTTACTGAACTATTCCAAGCAAATGACTGTTATGAATCCAGCTTGCTTAAAATAGAAGTTTGAGAGATGTGGACATTTAATCAAGTTCCCTGCTTTTTGTTGTGTTTTGTTGCTGTGCACTGGTGTAAACAGTTGCCATGTTTCAAGGAAGGTGTTGATGCAACTTCTAGTGGGATTTAAGACCATTCTCTGTGACAGAAATTTCTGCAGCTTCCAAAACGATATCACTGTCTCCAGCTTCTCTGACCTTTCTGAAAAGGTAATCTGTGATACTATGATTTATAATAAACAATATAAATTTGTTCTTCATCCCCTTTCTGGCACAGAGTTCCTAAAACCCTTGGAATTTTCTAAGTGATGAAAGCCATAACGATGCCTTTTGTTATGTTACTAAGGTGACTTTTGGATGCACGTAAGGATAGGTGCCCCAAGGAGAACCAACTATGTAATTGGAGGGTTGGAAATTTCAGTCCCACCCCTCTGAACTTTGCGAAGAGGAGAAGGGCTGGAGATTGAGTTCAATCACCAATGGCAGATGATTTAATCAATCATATCTATGTAGTAAAGCCTCTATAAAAACTCAAAAGGATGGGCTTTGGAGAGCTTCCAGGTTGGTGGAAATTTGGGAGAGTGGCATAATCAGAGAGAGCATGGAGACTCCACACCCTTTCCCTATACATTGCTCTGTACATCTCTTTCATCTGTCCATTCATGAGTTATATTCTTTTATAATAAACCAGTAATCTAGTAAGTAAAATGTTCCTCTGAGTTCCGTGAGCCACTCTAGCAAGTTAATTGAACCCAAGGAGAGAGTCAATGGAACCTCCAATATATAGCCAGTCAGTCAGAAGCATAGGTGACAAACCTGGGCTTGCAACTGACATCTGAAGGGGGAGGGGGCAGTCTTGTAAGACTGAACACTTAACCTATGGAATCTGACACCATCTCTGGGTGAATAGTGTCAGGAATGAGTTGAATTGTAGGACACTCAGCTGATGTTGGAGAATTGCTTGTTGATGTGGGGGAATCCCCCCACTGACATTGGAATTGGTGCAGAACATTTTAGATCTTTTATCTGAAATGTGTGGCTTTTCTGTTCCAGAAAACTAAAGGCTGATAAATCTCCCTACTTGGAGTAAGTTTATTGGCCGTAACAGATCCCATCTCTAGGAACACAAAACAAAATAAAAGAAAATCAGATTCGTAGAAGCGAAAACTATACTGAATACATATGTGATTGCAATTATCCTCATGGTTCTGCAAACCTGGTATCTTTCCCTTCATCTTTGATTTTTGCTGATTTCAATTCTTAAGAATGTCTTAGACTTATTTTTCATATCCTCCACAGTGCCTAATGCAGTATCTTACACATAGGTGTTTAATTATCAGCGAGCATCAATCAAGTCTTGATGGAAAATATCAATCCATTACCAAAATTATATTCAACTATCCCTTCAATTTTACAAATTTCCACTTATAAAATGCCAAGAGAAGGAATATAATCAATGGCTGACAAACTACATATCCAAACTTTTTACATTAGCATGTCTAGAATGTAGCATGGGACAAATCATGATATTTGCCATTTTTTGCTCAAAAACAGTCATCTATAATTATCTTGCATAAATTCTGATTTTGTATAATTTGTTGTTCATTCTAACAATTTTCACCTTTATCTTAATATTCTGGCTTTATTTGACCTATTTAAAAATTTCAATGCTGTAGTGTCTTCTATTGGGTAAGTCAAGGAATATATGAATTGGAAATTATTTAAACAACACAGAATAATATGTCTTATTAAATATATTAAGAATTTTACATATCTTGATATCCATATTACACTTAGCATAGCAGAAGTCAATTAATAAATATTGTAGAGTAAAAATAAATACAATTTTATTAAGTAAATTATTAAGCAAAAACAGAAGTTAGAAGACAGCATCATCATTTATTTATTAAAGTCACTATTTCAAGTCAGTTTCCCCACATCCTCAAATAATCCCTATGAGTTAGATATTAACAACTTCCTTTTAGGCTACAGACGGTGAGAATGTGTAAGATTAAGGCTTTATAACAATAAGGAGTTGAGCAAGTATTCAAATAATTTTAGATTTTTCACCCAACTATGACTTAGCAGCTTTCTTGCAGAATTTAATGAATATCACATATAGACAATACACATAAAAGTTATTTATTTTCATCCATAAACAATTTCATGTCTTTGATTATGTTAATTATCTTAAGTAGAGTAGATTATCTCATCTCCTAAACATTTAGAGAGGTGAAAGGAAATTACCTATGTCCACAAGGACTGTATGGAAAAAATAGTGTGAGTTTCAAGGAAGAATATTCTATATCTGAAATTTTGCAAGAATAAAACATCATCAAGGAAAACACTTCCCTTAGCATAACGTCTTCCAGGCTCATCCATACGCCAGTCACAGAAAGACAAATACTGCGTGGCTCTACTTATGTGAGGTATCTATAATAGTCAAACTTACAGAAAAAGAGGATACAATAGTGGTTGCCAGGGCTAGGGGGTTGGAGAATGGAGGGTTGTTCAATGAGTACCAAATTTCAGTTATGCTGGATGAATAAGTTCTGCAGATCAGCTGTAGAACATACTGCCTATAGTTAACAATATGCTATTGTGCATTTCAAAATTCATTAAGAGGTAGATTTCATGTTAAATGATTTACAAAAACAAAAAGAGGGATAAAGAGAGAATGAGGAGAGAGAGAAAGGCACAAGGAAACTGGAAAGCGTTGGATATATCTAATAGCTTGACTGTAGTATTTGCATATGTCCAAAGTTATCAAATTGTACACACTAAATATGTGCAGTTCTTTGTATATCAATTATACTTCAATAAAGCTGTTTTTTAAAAAAAGGAAGACACTTCCCTCTTAACTAGATCTGTGCTATTTTACAGTCATATAATTTATCTATTTCATACCATCTTTCCATTTGTTAAGAATGAAAAGACAAAGACTTCCTGGGTGAAGGTCTGTTGACCCTCTAGGAGCAGCCATGAGCCGTGTCAAAGCCTTGACAAAGTCAAGGAGTGAAACAAGGAATACAGAGGTCCATCCACTAAACGCGTAGGATATTTTAGGTTATTTGTTGCACATGTGCACACGTATATCACAAATCTCCTCTTTTATCAATAACGCAGCTAGATACGCATACCACTAACATAATGAGCAGCTACTATATGTCACGCGCTATGCTTATAATTCTCATTTAAGCTTTCATATCTATTAGGTCTAGCAATTGATCAATGAGGAGCTAGCATGACAAACTAAGATAAAGAAACCTATGAAAATGAAAGCAATAATCATAACCACAAATCAAAGGAGCTTAATGTATCTTGGCATCTGCCTGTCATTTCTTTCAACAGTGGTCCGCTCCTGTACTGAAGCACTTCTCCTGAATTCTTACCTCCTTTCCCACAATGCTCTACTCCATCCTTATCCCTGCTTCTTTGTCTTGAGCTCTGCTGTAATCTTCCTCCCATTAATTCTTCATCATTTAAACTTCCAACTTCTTCAGGAAATGCACCCATTATGGCTTTAACCTAGGACAGACAATTCGTCTTCATCCAGGAAAACAAAATTGTTTCAGAAACCCACAGCACTATAAACTCCAAAGTTTGAGTGTTGGAGTCTGAAATGCTAACTCATGGTGGCCATGGTATGTGCTGGTGGCTGCCAAGTCCCCTCCCCTGGAGGTCCCTCCACCATTGTGTGGTAAAGATATTTCACATCTCCCATGGCCTTAATTTCTCACAGTTTCCTCTTGGACACACACACGCATGCACGCACACAGACAAACCCATACACATACATATACCATACATCGCCAGGAAATATTTTTTGAAGATAGTATAATTGAATTAAGGTGGAAACAAAATGTCTCCAGAAGGCACACAAGCCTCTGAGATTTTTCTTGCCCCAAAACCTAGATAAGTGTTTTACATCATTATTCAGGGTAGGTTTGGCATCTCTTTGCATTAATAGCTATCTCCAGATATTGCCCAGGTGATGCATTAGTTCATGTAAAGCAAGCCCATTAAAGTGCCTGCTCTGGAGTCCTTAATTCAGCTGCTCTAACCCTCCAGAATGCAAAATAAACTGTGACTGAAAAATAGCTCTTGGTTTTATTTTATTTCATTATAAAATAAAACTAAGTAAATAATTTTAGCACATAAATTCAACATAAATGTCAATCTTTAGTTAGAATACATTAGGATCACAGAATCCACTCATCTGCTTGTTCACATTCATTCAATAAACTCAGAAACAAGATATTTGATGATCTATCCTTTAATCACCTGTCTAAGTTCCCCTAATTATTCTTAGGAAATTCCTTGAAATTCCTGGAACAAGCATGTAAGACTATTTTATATTCTGTCTTTTCTCTCACTAGGCTTCTCTACCCTTTTCCTGCTCCACATCCTAGGGAATTATCCTAACTCAAGCCTCAACTCTTACTACGTTGTCTCCACAACACCTGAGCAGCCTCCTTTACCTCGGAGAAAAACTCACAGCATCCCAAGTGCCTCCATTGTACTTTGTAGGGTCTATTAATGTCCCTGAAGCATTATTTCACTTACTTTGTTTCAAGTTTTCCTATTGGACAGTATTTCCAGGATTTATCAAAGGGTCTGGCAAATATTAGGTGTTCAATGTATATTTAATGAATAAATGAGAAAATAATAAATATTATATAACAAGTTTTGTAAAATTTTCATATTAGTTTGAGTTCACCCAAAAGTAAAGCCTCAAACACATAAGCAGCAGCTTATGTGGATGTGATCCCAAGAATAAACAGTGAAAGAGTAGGGAGAGTGAGGCAGGTCTGGAAGAAAGGACAATCTCAGGTGAGATTTTTAGATCTGGTCTGCTAAGGAACACAGAGAATCGTCTCTCCAAACTTGCAGGCTACGTTTGCACATAGGCGGAGCCGACTCCTCCAGGCTCAGCTCCTGAGAAGAACCTGAGGCAGACTAGAGAAATATGTGGTAAACATTTGAGCTGGGATGCTTTCAATGAATAGGAAACTTTTCACCACTGCAGCAGTTCAACACAGAGCTGAACCTACAGGTGTGACATGGGATATCAAAAGTATCTGCGACAGTTCCATAAAAGTGGTCCTCAGATATCCTATGTAGATAATTAATGGCTTCCATGTACCAGGCCTGAAACCATCTTTTCTACCTTTTCTTTCACTTCCAATATGTTTTGAGCTGTTATATATGAATGTTTTCACAATAAAATGCAAATAAATTCAATATCACATTTATGCAGTCCTTTTAAAAAATCAATTTTACTAAGCTATATTTATGTTCTAAATTATTTCCTTTTCAACCAGTTGTTGTGCGTTGTAGAAGTTCACAACCAGAGGTTGAGAAATTGAATAAAGCACCTGGCCCGAGCTCGGTTTATAAAACTCCGTAGGCTATTCTATTGCTAATGTTACTGAATGGTTCCAACGCTTGCATTAGGTTCTTATCAAGTACTGTCAACCAATCTTTTATTTAATTGTTGCCCAATACTCTTCATAATATTCAGAAAATAATAGTGACATACACTAATCTCTGCTCAGATTAACCACATCCTTCCTTTGTTAAACAGAAATTTGAATCTCTACATTCTTTATATGTTTTATTCTGCATGAGTAAAATAAACCACATTTTAGGAATTAAGAACTATTTAAATTGGATTAAATTGTTCTCGGTTCTAATTACATTGATTACAGAAAACTAATATGCATTGGGTTCCTGAAAGAATATCCTTTTTTTTTTAAAGGTTGGCACCTGAGCTAACATCTGTTGCCAATCTTCTTTTTTTCTTCTTCTTCTCCCCAAAGCCCCCCAGTACATAGTCGTATATTCTAGTTGTGAGTGTCTCTGGTTGTACTATGCGGGACGCCGCCTCAGCATGGCCTGATGAGCAGTGCCACGTCCGTGCCCAGGATCCAAACTGGTGAAACCCAGGGACGCCAAAGTGCAGCACGCGAACTTAACCACTTGGCCACAGGGCCAGCCCCTGAAAGAATATCTTAAGCAATGACAGACATATAAACAGCAATGGCATAACTGACTCACGACATCCTATGAAATCAAAAAATTTCATCTAAACGTCAAGGATTCCTACTCTCATTTATAATTCCAGAACTATCTGTGATTACTTTCATTGAGCAGGTGAGGTTTATTAGCTAGGAAGGGGGGTTAGATTGACATCACATGCCTTCCTATACAAAATGTGGTCTCTGGACTAGCTGCATGGACATGACCTGGTTGTTAGAAATGTAAAAACTCAGGCTGCTCCCCAGATACACCAAATCACAATCTGCAATTCTAAAGGATCCTCAAGTAATTCAAATTCCCTCGAAGTTTGAGAAATACAGCTTGCAATGGTAGTGTTTTCTATTGAAGGTATCTCTTATTTATGAAATCGGAGGTAGATGGTGATAATGTTCTTTGCTTTATACCAGTTAGGCCACAGGCTTTCTTTCCCTTGTTACACAGTTGCGAATAAATCTGCCGGGTAGCTACCCAACAACTGTTACCAACTTCTTCCCTTCTAACTTGATTGGGTTATTGTCCCTCTTCAACAAGGCCAGGATCTTCATTAACAACAGCAATATCTCTGGTGTCATGGAGTGAACCATGACTATTTTAAACAAATTCCATTGTTTCCTTCTATACCTCCCATTGGTTTAGGCTTAGTCATGTAGCCTTATTCTAAGCAGATTTATATTAATCTTGTGCATTGTGTGAATCTTGTAGAAGGAATCTATAGAGAAATATAGTTCAAAGTAAGTATAAACTAGAAGAAATCAGCAAAGACCAAGAGAATGAAATGTCAGAATTGGGGAGAGGGGAGATAATGTTCAACTGTAAAGTACTGATAAGTTTCTTTTTTCCTATAAATGCGTGTTGCTATTTATTTTCTCTTTGTTTAAGAATACTCCTTCCTATTGACTCTATTACCCATAGACAAAAATGCGCTATGAGGAAATCAATGTATCACCGTCTTAAACTTAGAGGTAATATTTAAATTACATTGAAAAAAATCTACCTTCTCTCAGATGAACTTGTACATTTTGGAAACTTTCATGAGATCTGGAAATGAAATGTTAAATGAGTAATGTTGACATTAAACTTAAAGAAGTCAGAAGGCTCTGTATTTGAAAAGGGGCCCCAAGGAATTGCCAGAGCTGAGACCAGGCTGCTTTATAGCAGACCTGGGAAAAGACAGTGCCGACTCGCTCAATGAATCTCCTTTCCCTGTGGGTGTAACCTTGAGAAATGAGGGCAGAAGTTTTACCTCTACAATTCTCTATCTGGGTTGTAGAAAACTTAGACTTTTAATCCCCAAAAGAAATATCTTTCTCAAGATCTGATCTTTAAACATCAAATAAGCAACCATACACTTAGCAGGGGAAAACAGCATAGCATTTTCAAAGTTACAAATTAATTTTCAGAAAGGTTTCCAGCCCCATTCTCACTACCACTACATTTTCAGTTAGTAACAGTTAATCCCAGATAGAATAATGGATTATATCAAAAGACTTATTGTTTTAAAATTTAGAAAAATTCCTAATCTGAGAGAACTTTAGTGGTTATTCAGTCCAGTGCTATAATTTTATAGGTGAAAAAAGTGAAATCAGAGGATTTAGGTGGTTTGCCCAAAGTCACACCTAATTAGTGCCCAGATCCTACGTTTCTCACCTCTTAGTCTTCTGCTTCACCCTGCCTCTCACTCTCGTAATCATCAATGCAATCATCAATATCTCCAATGAATCATCTGATGGTTCACAGCAGATTTTTACTTGTGCATTAGTTACATGAAAATGCTTAATTTCAGACTCTGGACATATGCGAAGAAATAAACCACACTGATATCCCACAGTTGTCTCCTAACAACAAAGTAAGAAACATCTTGTTTCTTGATTGTGTACATTTTTTTTTACTAAAGAGGTTTATTACCAAAGTTTTTAATTGGTCATAGAGTGAATGTAATGATTATTTATTTTTCTTCTAGCCACTATAAAAAATGCTGAGTTATCTACAGATTTTTGAACGAACTATACTTTCCAAAACTCTAATGACATAAAATTGTGTAAATCATTATTGACCAGTGTCCAAGGGTCACAATTTGCTCTGAGTAAAATCCAATCCTATTTTGATAATCTAGAAATTAAATAATCTCTAAGTTTAATTATTTATTCATCTTTTTTATGGCTGAATGGCTTTTAATTGCTACTATAACTGATGTGTATTTCGTATAATTTCAGAATGTCAAATTATAATAGTATGTATCCAAAAATATTTTCAGTCTCTATTGTGATCCTATATTAATTTCATTTCTTATAGATTTTTATGTGGTAGTTTTCTGTCATTGTTATATGGCTGACATCTTTATAACTATTGACATTTAACCCCCGTAACAATTTCAGGAAGTAGGCTTATCTGTAGATTTTTTTCACTTGAATAGGAAAATTGTAATTATAAAATATTTTAGCTAATACAAACTCTAGCTAGAAACCCACATTATCTCAATGTAGGCA